ATACAGTTATTTTTATTACAAGGCATATACCACAGTGTTAATAAATTTTTCATGGCACTGCATTCAATTTCAACACTATTCGGTATTAAACGTTTCCTTCATATTTTCCAAAAACAATACGAACAAATTTTGGTAGGTAAACTCAATTTACATCAGGAGAGTATAGCTTATCATGATGCACGATAGATGCGAAACTCGATAAGAATTGGCTGCTTTGCCTTGTCTGGTAAGCGATAAAGTAAAGAACAAACATGACTGGACAAACATATAACTTAGTAATAGAAACACTCCGCTAGAATCGTGTTAAAAACACTTACACTGAACACTTTAAATGATTAGCAATACTATGCTACTTACCGAAGTCATGAGATGTTTCCTTTTTCTGGCGCTATTTCGGCATTCGCATACCACGGAATTTTGAAGGTTGTTTAATAAACAAAATTTTAAAAAAGTGTTTGTTTTGGTAAATAGTTTTGATGTTTTCTATTCTCGCAATTGGTGTGGTCAAATCCAGATTGGCGACAAAATTTTTATTTCATGAGCCCGCGTGTTTCCGCAGACTTTGGACACCAAAGTCCGCTATGCTTTTGACCACTGGCCGTGCAGTAATAATTTATATTAATTTCGATGACCTCCAGTCTTAATATAACTCAATGGCGTGACAAGATGCTCCAAATCGTGTGTTTGCGCATGCTCAGATGTCTTTAGCCAATTAGATTACGAATATCTTTTCTATATAATATATTGCATGGTCGGGCTAAATTTTGTAAGCCCGACTTGGATGCGAAAAGCATGGAACCGATACACTGTTACTACGCAAATGCTCGTTAAATACAAATTTTGAGTTTAATCACTTCAATGGAGTATTAAACCAAAATCTTTATTTAAAGATTTGTATTATCATCTCAAAATCTGCAGCAAATGGATTAAAACTGTTTTGAAATTAAACTCATTTATTTTGAATTTTTAATCGCACAAATCTTTGATTTGGGAGAAATTTTTGGTCGGGTTCAGCCTGTCTCAGCTTACCGGCGTGACCTCTAGATACGCCACTTGACATAATGCTTTATATCTTTATGGCTTTGCTAATTTCTAGGAAATTGTGCTGTACATAGGCATCTCATTAGAATCTTATCATTTGAATAAGTTCGCAATCTACGTCGCACATAATGACTAGAATGAAGCACAAATATTGTTGCCTTGGTTTTAAAGTACAAGTTCCTTCACCATTAAACTCACGCCATTGCTATTAATTTCTGAGGAATTATGCTGAAGTTCTAATTTGAATTTCTTCACCAACAGATCATTTAGGCAAAAACGAAATATTTTATACCTTGACATTTAGGACAAAAGAGAATGTTCCATTGTAATCGATCCCCACGCGAATAACGTTTTCTCTTTTGTTAGAAAAAGTATGAACTGTTATTTCCGACAGTGTTGCCCTCTGCACAGTCGTTTGCTTGTATGACTTTTACAGTGGGGAGAAAGTCCAACATGCTTGGATCTTTAAAGATTTCAATCATATCATGCAATATTGTTGTCCGATGGACCAAGATTTCTTTGAATTCTAATGTGCTAACAGATTAAGTCAGCTGAGAAGAACCAACATCATTGTCTGATTGAGAAAGCCCTTGTCCTTGGTCTGGAATAAAAATGACATAATGTCATAATGTCATTAACAATAAACAAACAAATAATAATTCAAAAAACATTTTACTGACAGTAAATGTCAGGCATACTAAACTTCAACCACAGTTCCTGACAATTCAACATCGTTCCAGTCATCATCAAAAAACTCCTGGGCCGAATGCACAAAAGGTGGATAACTTACCTTATGAATAACTCTTATCCATAGGATAACTCTCCTATCCAGTGGATACGTATCCAATAGATAAAAATGCGTTCCACGAAACTTGGATAGTAGGGTGAATAACTATCCACTGGATAAACATATTTAATTGTTTCTTTGCAAATTACATAAATTATAATACACTTGTATCATAAAATGGCGTAAAAGTATTCCTTCCATATGGTAGCTACTAAAAAGATATTATTAGTTACCTATCCTTCGGTATCAGTGTTTCTTGCTTCTCCATGTGGATGATCTATGAGTATATTATTATTCTTTTTCGACAGTATATAAAAGTGTCTTTTTCGTAAGTAAGGAAAGTGTATTTTTGTTGCCATTTTATGATGCTCTTGTATATACACTGGTCGTAGCGTATGAATTTATGTGCGAATACGATCAGTTTCGAAAAATTTCGTTGCCAAGTGTTGCTATGTGATTGCAAATCTTTTATTGATGTTTTGACCATTTTGGCAGTACTTTTCTTTAAAAATTTTGAAGACAAATTATAAAATAAATCATGACCGAAGTACAAATTGAAATTGTAAACAAACGTCCATGTAAAGCTAATTTTTCACCGGCTGATTGTGCTACAATTCTTCAACTAGCTGAAGAAAATTTATCTGTCACAAGAGATAAATTTACTAATGTTTTGACAATCCAAAAAAAAAGCTGAGGTTTGGAAAAAAATCGTAAATCATGTAAATTCTCATCGAGTTGCCAAGAGAACGGTTAATGAAGTAAAGGATAAGTGGCGGTCAATGTTTATGGGAGCTAAGAAAGACTTTTCAAAAGAAAAAATGAGAGAAAGAAGACTGCAGGTGGATTGCCACCCAAACCCATACCAGGTAATTGCGAAAAAATAATTCATCTGTTTGGTGATGAGCCATCATTTTCTCGAATTGCTGGTGAAATTGAGTCAGGTACTTCTGATGAAATAACCACTCTTCGAGGTTAGTGAATTCTCATGTAGGTTGTGATGTTGCTTGTAGCAAAATATTTGAGCATTGTTGTGTGTAGGATGCATTATGGAAGGTGAGCAAGAAATTGACAAGTTTGAAGAAGACATGTTTGTAAATGTCGATCGTCTATGTTGGTATAGTCCTGAGAAGGACTGTTTTTGTTGTTGTTGACTGACGTTTCGACAACCTTAACGGTAGTCAACTTCAGAGTCAAAAAAAAATTTTAGCATTTAATTACTAAAAATTTTAGCAAATTAATTACTTGCTTGAAAAAAAATTTTAAGCAAGTAATTAATTTAGATAATTTAGATGAAAAGAATGTGGGCAGCGATTTTTCTACCTGTTTTAATTTGGTTCCTAAAACTAGAGGCTTCAAAATGGCTTTTCTCAACATAGCCAGTCTTCCAATGGAGATTGATGAAATACGGTTGTCAAGGCCGAGCAAGCACATTGATTTGTTTGGCCTTAATGAAACCCGTCTTGATTCTATTATAACTGATAATATGATTCATATTGATGGGTATGATGTGGTAAGAAATGATAGGTCAAGAAATGGGGGAGGAGTTTGCTTATACTTGCGTAGCTCCATTAACTACATAGTTCGAAAGGACCTAATTCCTTCAGAGTTAGAAGCTGTTTGTGTAGAAATTTGTAAACCTCATAATCGACCATTCTTGGTAACTACTATTTATCGCCCACCAAACTCACCTAATGACTTCTTTCTACATTTCGAGAATTTAATCAAACAAATTGATGATGAAAATAAAGAAATTTATAGTCTTGGTGATCTCAATTGTGACATGCTTAAACATGAACCTGATACACCTACAAAGAAAGTGAAATCCTTATATGAGTTGTATCAACTGTCACAGCTTATTAATGAGGCTACACGGGTAACAATATCAAGCTCCACTCTCATTGATCATGCAGTAACTAATACTTCAGTCAACATTTCTGATTCCGGAGTTATACATACTGGAATAAGTGACCACAATTTGATATTTGCCATTAGGAAAATTCATTTTTCAAAAAAAAGAAGATGAGAATATAGCTGAAATTAGGAACATGAAAAAACTTAAAAGTGAAAAATTTATTGAGGATTAATCTCGTCAGCATTGGGAGAACATATTTTATTTTGCTGATAATCCCAACCACATGTGGGAATTGTAGAAAACACTATTTAATGAAGTACTGAATAAACATGCACACATTCAACATAAGAAGATCAGATCTAAAATTATACCTTGGGTTACAAGTGAGGTAAAAAAACATATAAATGAGAGAAATAAATTTAAGAGAAAAGCCATCAGAAACAAGAACGAAACTGATTGGAACATGTTTAAGCAATTGAGAAATAAAGTTAATACAGAATTGAGAAAAGCTAAAAAGGACTATTATGCCACTAGAACTGCAGAACATAAAGACAAACCAAAAGAGACATGGAAAACAATCAACCACTTATTAGGCAGGCAAAACAGACTGGGCAATGTCAATGAATTAAATGTAAATGGCATTAGCCTAACAAACTCTAAGGACATTGCTGAGGGTTTTAATCAATACTTTTCTATCATTGGGCCTGAATTGGCCAGCAAATTTGATGCCTCAGATTGTAATTTTCAGGAATTTATAAATAAACCTAAATATGAATTCTCAACTTTTCAGCCTGTAACCAAAAACATAGTCAATCAAATGCTATGTAATCTCCCAAGTGGAATATCCACCGGTGTTGATAGAATTTCCAACAAAATTTTAAAGATAGCAGCACCTATTATAGCTGACTCATTGACCTATATCTTTAATCAGACTATTACATTATGCGCTTTCCCTAATGAATGGAAAATCGCAAGACTAATTCCTTTATTTAAAAATGGGCAAAAGAATTTGCCTACCAACTACAGACCAATCTTTGTTTGCCAGCAATCAGCAAAATTATGGAAAGGATTTTATACAACCAACTTTATGATTATTTGAATAAATTTCACCTATTAAGTGACTCTCAGTTTGGCTTCCAAAAACATCACTCAACAGCTACCACCTTACTGGACTGTACCTATAGCTGGTATATGAATATTGACAAAAAATTATTCAACCTTGTGATATTCATTGACTTACAAAAGGCTTTTGATACTGTATATAATGAAATTTTATTAAGCTAGCTTGAACACTATGGCATAAGAGGAGACGCATTGTCTTTATTAACATGTTACTTGACCAACCGTACTCAGTTATGTCAGATAAATGGAACAATTTCATCTGAACAGTTGGTCAAGTGTGGTGTACCACAAGGTTCTATTCTAGGACCACTACTCTTTTTATTATACATTAATGATCTACCTCAATGCCTACAAAAGACGAAACCCAGATTGTTTGCCGATGATACAAATTTAACAGCAGCAGGAAACTCACTTACTGAAGTTGAAGCTGCTATGAATTTCGATCTGGAATACTTAAGCAGGTGGTTGATTGCTAATAAACTAAGCCTAAATGTTGCAAAGACTGAATTTATGTTGATTGGCTCTAAACCAATTATCAAAAGTATAGCAAATCAGCAACCAAACATTGCGATAGAAAGCAAAACAATAAAACAAGTTTGGGATTCTAAGTCTCTTGGCGTGACCCTCGATCAGCACTTGTCGTGGAAGAAAAATACTGACAATATTTGTGAAAGATTAATTATTCAATTTAATGACTGACTCGTATCAGTTTCACCAGCCTGGATCCGCCCCTGCTAGCGATCTTTCAAAGAAAAATCGCTTCCCACTTTCCCAAGACAAATATGTACTCAACTAATTGTAAATAGTTTCTAGCGTAGCTATACTTCATTTTATGAACATTTTAGTGTCTTGTGTATCGTAAAATGTAAGTAGTTCACTATTCTATTGTAATTTTCATTTTTGCACACGGCCCATGTGGAGATCAACTTGTATGTTGACAATGGTAAGCGTATCAAAATAAAATTATCTATCTATCTATCTCTACACAATCCGAGAGCGCTCAAACTACGCAAGCGCAGCGAGCGTAAATATATATATCAAGTATGATGACGTAAATATATATATCAAGCATGATGGAATCCCATCAAGAGCTGTTGATGCAATTCAAGTAATGCACAAAGACACCTGTGCTAAAGTACTCACTCCGGAAGGAGAAACAAACGCATTCAAGATTGACAGTGGTGTTCTTTAAGGCGATCCCTTGGCGCCTTTCCTATTTATCATTGTTCTTGATTACGCACTCCGCACTTCCATCACCAGCAGTGACGGCCTCACACTCAAGCCGCGCCGAAGTAACAGATACCCAGCTGAAAAACTTGCCGAGTTGGACTACGCTGATGATATTGCACTTCTTGAAGATTGTATTGAAGCTTCTCAAGATCTCCTAAAGCGTGTAGAGGATGCCTGTCAAGAGGTTGGCTCTAAAATCGACTGTGTTGAATACTTCAAGTAACTTGGCGGTTATTCAGATACTGAGCATGATATATCGGTCAGACTAGCGTTGGCATGGAGTGCGCTACATTCTCTTCAGGCAGTTTGGAAGTCTCCAATCAAGACGTCAAGAAAGACTAAAGTGTTCAAGGCTTGCATTGAAACCATCCTTCTCTATGGGTCAGATTCATGGACGCTAAATAATGTGAAACATAAAAAGAGTCTCGACGACACATACATAAGAATGCTTAGACACGCCTATGACATATCTTGGAAAAGCCATCCTACCAACAAATCTCTGTACGGTACGCTTCCTCGTGTGTCTGAAACGGTTCGTCAGCGGCGTTTGACTCTTGCGGGCCATGTTAGTCGTCATGAAGATCCCGCTGGTAGGCTTCTGATATGGACACCCTCAGCGAAAAAAAGAATTGGGCGCTCGTTTGTCACCCTCAAGAACATCATTGAGGAAGAAACTGGCTTGTCTGGACAAGACCTGTTGATTGTAATGGCAGATCGCCAACGCTGGCACTTGGAATACATTCATGTTTCGCCTGAGCCATCTGGCATTGGATGACACAAGGCAAGGCAAGGCAAGGCATGGCAAGGCATGATGACATGCTTAATATGTTAAATTGCCATTTATCGCTCATTACTATTTACAATTAACAAAAATGTGTGTTGGTTATGTGATTTCCTACAGCATTTCCTTAATGTACACCTTGATAATGAATGCCTGCATTTAGATCTTCATTATCTTCATCTGGTTCAAGTTCATCTTCAGGTTCATTGTAGTCAATTGCAATGTTGTGCAATACAAAGCAAGCTGCAATAATGGAGCACACTCTCTCTGGTGTCATTCGGATCTCACCATGTAAAAACATGGAACCGTCTTTTTAGAATACCAAAGGCTCTCTCTGTTGCTCTCATCTACTGCTAATTGAGAAATAGGAGCCTCAACAGTAACGCCATCCACTGCTGTGGTTGGAACTGTTCATCCTACATCTCCCTCCTTGTCTACCAAAGACCAAAAACCACCAAAAAGAAAGAGACGAGTTTCAGAATGTGAAGTGCAGAAACTCCAAGTAAAGGTATTGGAATTGGAGAAGGCTGAAAATGGAGATCGATGATGCCAAGTTGATGCATAAAAGTTTAGCTTGGAAGTTCATCAAATGGAGACAAAACTCCGTAACAATGAACAATAAATGTAGATATAATCTTCGCACTTTATTGGACAATTTAAGCAATTGCCATTTCAATATGGTGATAGCCGGGAGGGCACATTGTATATACACTTTGTATATATATATATATATATATTGATGAGAAGAAGAAAATACACAAAAACTACAATTTCATCCCGACAAGCCTGTTTCGTGATTTCTCACTCTTCAGGGGATAATATTAAATAAATACGAAAGCATGTGCTAGATTATATATACAAGAGGAAGTTAGGGTAAAAAATTAAGATAGAATTACATAATATGTTGAGTGTATGGTTACAAATTGGATAAAAGTGCCTTGTGTCTATGGTGACAAGAGGAGATAAGCTCGTTACGTTTGTTGAGTGATGATAGTTGTGGTTGGTAGGTGATAAAAAATTTTTCTTTCAGGCATAGGTTGCATCTTTTGTTGGCGCTGTTGTACGGTTTGCTGTGAGTGATGATGTTCCATGAGATATCGTGAGCGATGTTGTTGTCTTTTAGTGTCCATATGTGTTTGCTGAGTTTGGTGGAGCTTCTTAGTTTTTTGTGGCGGAAACAGGCAGTGTGGTTCCTGTGTCGAGTCTTAAATTCGTTTTCTGTAAGTCCGATGTATGTCTCAGTTGTGTTAGTGTCCAAACGTTTAAAAGTTGCTTGGTAGATGACAGATGATTGTAGGCAAATTCCGTTAAGTGGGCAGTTTTGTTTTTGTCTCAGTTGCATGTTTTAGTTTGTATATTTTTGTCATTGATGGTGTCATTAGTATTGTCAGGTTCTCTCAATATGCGTTTGTTATGATTATTAATAATATGCTCCATATTGTTCATGCAGCTGTAACTTAATTTAATTGTGTTGCGTTAAATAGTTTTCTTAGTTTGTGGTCTATGGGAAAGTGATTGTCAATTAGTGAAATGAATTTGTAGCCGATGTTTGTGCTGACGTTCTTGCTGTATGGTGGGTTGTACCAGAGTATATTATTTCTAAGTCTGTTTTTACACCTATGCTAAGTCTGTTTTTACACTCACAGCTTCTAAAGACACCTATGGTTTCAAGAGCACAAAAAACCCTCCACCGATTGACAACTTAAAACAATTCGAAAACGACGTGATGAAGATGATTCAATCAGTAAAATTTAAAAAAGTACATAACGCATTTCTCACCGAAATAAAAGACAACACCACAGCCATCAAACACGAAAAAAAGCTACTTATCGCAGCCGACAAAACTACAATCTTCTACAAACTAGACAAGCCAGCATACAACGACCTCCTACAACAAAATATCACGAAATCATACAAAAAATAAACGTCGACGCAATAGAAGCCATCCACACTGAAGTCAAAAATATCACATCACAGCTGGGTATATCTGACAGAGTAGACTCCACCGCTAACAAAGACGCATACATAACACTCAAAGACCACAAACCGAACTTCGCAAATAAACCCACCTGCCGATAATCAACCCGACTAAATATGAAATTGGAAAAATTAGCAAAAAAATACTTGACAGAATAAACAACCATACCATAAAAGCCACTTTGCTGAACCAATGGAAAAACTCGTCATCTGTCATCAAGTGGTTCAACTCCATCAAACACAAACAAAATCTCAACTTCATATCTTTCGACATTGTGGACTTCTACCCATCTATCAACCAAGACCTCAAACAAAGCACTTGATTTCGCCTCAACCTACGACAACACCACAAACCAAGAGAGAAACATTATCATACATGCCAAGAATTCATACCTCATTCACAACCAACAACCCTGGCAAAAGAAACACAACTCCACATTCGACGTGACAATGGGCAGCTTCGACGGCGCCGAGACATGCGAACTTGTAGGAAGCTATCTCCTATCACAACTACAACACATCATCACTAACATAGGACTCTATCGCGACAATGGACTAGCCATTACAAAAGCAACACCTAAAGAAACAGAAAAAATTAAAAAAGAGATATGCCGCGTATTTAACAACAACGGATTGCGTATCACTATCGAAGCTAACAAAAAAGTCATTAACTTCCTCGACATTACGTTCGATCTAAAGAATTCTTCCCATCGACCTTACACTAAGCCCAACACCTCTTTGCAATGCATCCACCACGAAAGCAACCATCCTCCAAGCATTACAAAGAACATACCTGATACCATTAACAAACGCCTTTCATCCTTATCATCCGACGGAGCATCATTTGACCAAGCAATTCCTCCATACCAAAAAGGACTTGACGAAAATGGATATCATTACACACTGAAATATGACCCGAACGCTACTACGAAACGGAAAAACAGACTTAGAAATAACATATTCTGGTACAACCCACCATACAGCAAGAACGTCAGCACAAACATCGGCTACAAATTCATTTCACTAATTGACAAGCACTTTCCCATAGACCACAAACTCAGAAAACTATTTAACCGCAACACAATTAAATTAAGTTACAGCTGCATGAACAATATGGAGCATATTATTAATAACCATAATAAACGCATATTGAGAGAACCTGACAATACTAATGACACCATCAATGACAAAAATACACAAACTAAAACATGCAACTGGCGACAAAAACAAAACTGCCCACTTAACGGATACTGCCTACAATCATCTGTCATCTTCCAAGCAACTGTTAAACGCTTGGAAAATAACACAACTGAGACCTACATCGGACTTACAGAAAACGAATTTAAGACTCGACACAGGA